AGTCAGAGCCTTGGAAGAGGGCGAAGTGAGAAGTGCTTTTCTCCTTCTCCTACTCCTGGGGTGTCCTAGATGGCCCCCCCACTTCTCCCCACAACACATTGAGGACCCTGAGGACAGCCCTACCCTTCAAACTAGACTCCTCTGACTTTACCTTGCTCCTCCCCCACACGCTCACTGACTCCACCTGTGAACTGAACTGCTGTGGCCATCTGTCCCCTCTCCTAGCCAGACCCTCATCACCCCTCACTGAACTATCAAGTCCCTCCTCCGGCCTAGCCTTCACTCCACTGTGGCAAAATTAAAAACAAGCTTCCTGAAACACAGGTCAACCCCCTCACCCCCCACACACACCCCAACCCTGTTCCCCTATTAACCACCACAGTTTTTCTTGTTTTGGGTTTTTTTTTCTTTTTCAAACAGCACTGGGGTTTGAACTCAGGGTTTAATGCCCACCTAGGTTTTTAATGCACAGTGCAGCTGGACATCCTCCTTTCCCCACTGCATCAAAATCACCTGCAGTGGAGAACTTGTGAAAAGTCCAGTTTCCTGAACTATGAGTTCTGGGGTTGGGCTCTGGAAATTTCAGTTCCAGATGAGCTGGGCTCAGTGGTGCATGCCTGTAGTCTCAGCATTGAGGGGCTGAGGTAGGAAGATCACTGATTCTCAAGTTCAACCCTGGTCTAGGTGACACAGTGAAACTGCGTTTCTCTCAAAAACAAAACAAACAACAACAAACAAATAGCAAACGACCTTTGCACACACTAAAGTTAGAGACTCATTTTATTAGAGTTTCCCTCTGACTAGGAAAATCTGTCCCTACTTCCAACTACCCCTTCCAGGTGTTAGGACTAAGGGTGGCAAGGCTGGCATTTTACTACCAACCCTTTGCATTACAGCTTCTCAAAGGAGCTCATTCCAGAGCTTTCACTAGGTGATGGAAGGAAGTCACTGTGTGTCCTCAGGCCTCAGTTTCCCATATTTACAATGGGTAGATATGTGCTATCTAGAGTCCCTGTCAACTCCAACATCAGGCATGTGACCTTTATGCTATACTACAGGCTAGACCATCGGTTCCAATCCTAACATTCTACCAACGTGAGGAGGGGATGCTTTAAAAAAACATCTCTCGTACTACATCTGACTTCCAATTTGCATTAAAGAACAGCCAAAGGCTAACCTTCCCGCACACCTTTATTTTTGTTCTTTTAACATCCATTACTAGAAGTTTTTTTCAATTCCTTCCCAGAGTCCAAAAATGCAAAAAGAGAAGTTTATAAAATTACCACCTCCTAGCCACCCTTCAGCATCTGGCTGTGTACTGAGGCTCTTTATATCCTTCTCATTATTTAATCCTCCCATCTAAAAGACTAGGGGATCGAGCCTCAGAACGCTGAAGTTGCCCAAGGCAGCACAGCAGGCTGGAAGATGGCACTGAATTTTCCACATTCACACTGTACCCCAATGAGTCAATGCTGGGTTCCAGATACTGCGAGAGCAACTGCACCAAATGCTACACTGGCCATCCACGGGTCCCCTGCAAAGTATGACAGGAGTGCTAACCAGCAAGCTACACCTCCTGACAGCTTTCCCAAAGGAGCTGCTGAGGGCTGCACACACATACAGGCGCACACGCACACACGCAGGTGAGGGAGGTGGGGCTAAGCAGCCCAAGCACAGGCGAGGTCAGGGATTTAGTCAACAGAGAGCTAATACGAGTCAACAGTGGGGGCCGCTGCCAACCTCACCAATGGCTCCTCAGCTGCATTCATAGAAGGAAGGTGCCTCCTCCCTCAGCCTGCCCTGCTCAAACCAGACCACACCTGAGGGCTGGGCCCTGGACTAACAGAAGGGAGGGGCCCTCCAAGGTAGGGCTAGGTTTTCTGAAGAGGAGTGGTTGGCAGGGTGGGCCCAGGACTCACCTGGGAGCTGGGTCTCTACGGCAAGCCCACTTTGGACTGCTTAAAAGACCTTTTTATTCATGTTTTATCAAAGATTGAGAAACTGACTGTTAACAGTAAAGGTTCAGAACTCCTTGAAGTGCTAGGGACTCAACCTACCACCAGACAACAGGGCTCCAGGCCTGTTGGAGACTTGATGAAGAGAAGGATTACAGTGGCTTCTTCCTTTTTTATATATGACAGCTGAGCCATGGCTTTGCCAAGGGACACTGGATTTGAGATCCTACCATTTCAAGTGTCAAAAACTCTAAGAAGGCATAATTACCCCATCCCACCCATCCCCAGCACCCAGGCAGCGTGTGCCTGTCACATCGCTTAGCATCACTCAGAATTTAAAAAACGTATTTCCACCTAGGTCTCCCCAAGAGCCTCCAGGCCATGTCTCACTCACCTTTGTGTCTACAGCATGGAGTCTGGCACATCACAGACACCCAATAAATGATGACTAACTGAACTGAGGTGCCACAGTACGGTCACACTGAGGGTGTTATTGTGTTCCAGGTAATTTCAGAACCCAAGTGTCCTAACAAGGGCTAATAAAAAGGTTTATGAAAACACATTACCACTTTTGTAGATTAAGCAAAAGAATTCTTGAGGCCAATGCCACCAGAGGGTTTTAATTACAAAGCAGTCACAGTCAGCCTGGCCAGGTCCCTTGGTGTCAATGGAATTGATCAGGGCTTAGGGGTATCAGGGTCAAAGGTAAATCCCATCTGTGTGACAAGAGCCAGGCAAAGCCAGAGCCCAGGAAGTAGCAAAAAATCCAGAAACACAAAAGAGAATAAATGAGAAGCAGTACCACACGGCTAAAAAGAGCATACAAAAGGAGTTCAGGGAAGTGGGTCTGCAGAACAGCACAAAAGCTACAAATTCACTGGGGAGCTAGCCACCTGGTGCTAAACCTCATAACTGGGAGAATTAATTACAGGAACTAACACTCTAATCTGGGAAGATCAGTGGAGGAGGATGAGCGATGCAGTTCTAATATCTAATAAATCTTTAAATCAATGAGCTCTGCTCACTCTCATTTTTCTTCATCTTTCCTCTCTGAGAGCTCACACAACAAAGCCAGCACTTGCTTTTTATTTGCCTTTGGACAAGGTATGCATTTGTCTGTGTGTATAAATAAAACTCGGGGTTCACTAAATCACATCTTAGGGGCATCGAGGAATCTGCCATCGCACACACACACAAAAACCTGGATGGGTGAACTCTTCTGCTGCTTTTTATAAAGGAAGAAAGCTTTTCAGGATGCAAATGTCCCCTTCGCCCAAGCTCAGCCGGGGCCCCTCCCCGCTGCAAAAGTCAGCTTTCCCAACCCAGTCTGTTCCTTTGCGTACCTATTTGGGTCTATTTAACATGCATCGCCTTTACTCTCTTTGCATTTTTCATTTCAGAAACATCACTTCAACCTGTCTCACAAGGCTGACAGTAGCAATACATTTTATAAAGGAATTATCCCCGGGGAACAGACAAGAAAACCACCGGCAAGGAGCACTGTCAAAGTTCCCATGGATAGAATTCCTCTCCCAGATGCAAACTACGCCACATCCTCTCCAAACCCAAGCTGCCCACTCCCGAGGCAGGAAGCTCACCTCTCCTCTCCTCCTGGCTCTCAAGCCTCCTCTTCCACTGGGGGAGGAAAAAAAAAAAAAGCCAGAGAGCCTCACTCTTGGGGAGCAGCAATGTTTAAATGCTATTTTAAATAAACAGCTCTGCACACAGGAATGCTGGCTCCTTTTCCATGTATAAAATGGCCCAGAAAGGGTATTTTCATAACGAACTTATATTCTATGGAGCGCACAAGGAACCACGAAAAACAGCTGCTATAAATTGAACCAGTCTCGAAATTAAACCCACACAGGGTGGAAGGCTCTGATACCCTTCCACCTTCCTAGTTCTCTGCTGAACTCCAAAGAATTCCTGCCACCGTAAAGGCCTAAATGCTTTCTTTGCAAGTCGGGGTACTTAATTCCTTGCTTTGAAACCATCTTGTAACTCATCTAAATCTCAATTACTAAGGTGTCCTCAGTCCTCCCGAAGATTCCCCAAGGCACCATCTGCCGCAGCGCCAGTGCACAGTAGGCGTCCGGCTAATGTGTGGGCTTGATTGGATTTGACTGGCCCCTTCAGCCAGAAAGGCTCTTTGGTGGCTGATCGGTCTGCCGGGGACAGCAGCGCCGGCCTAGCTTTCCACTGGAGCAGGGCAGTGGTGAAACCACCTGTGGGCGGCTGGCGGGGACGCAGGTCCGGACACCGCTGCCCTCGGGTGCCCAGCCGGCCCCACGCGCAGTAAGTACTGGGAGTGGTGGAGAGTCGGGTGAGCCGGCCGTCCCGGGCCGACTCCCAGCGCCCCAAGGTCTCTGCCCGAGCAAAGTTGACCCGGTCTTCGAGTTAGCTCCCAACTCGCTCCACCCCCTGCGAGGTTGCGGGCTGGAGGGGCTTTTTGGGGTGGGAGCCGGGGATACCCAGAAGGGACCAGCAGAGAGGAAAAATTGTCCCCTAAGCCCCTCCCAAACTCTAAGCACCTGCAAGGCAGCAGGCGGGACTTCTCTCCACCTTCTCGCCAAGGCCTGATGACGAGTGCGGGACATCCCGGGGTAGCCCCGCATTGCTTTGAAATTTCCTACCCAATAACTCAACATCAGGAAGGCCCCCGCTGGAACCTGGGGGTGGGGGCGGAAGGGCAACACTGGCCGAGAATACCCGGTACCCGTGCCAATGGGCGGGGATTCGGGACTTGGGGACATTGTGCGCTGGGGAAGAGGGAGGCCCAAAAGACTAGGTGGGCGCCAGAGAAAGAGCAATCCTGCGGCGCAACGTGCCAAGGAGGGGGCGCGACCAAAGACAGGGTCCCGGGGAAGACCCAGACCCGTGGTCCGAGAGAGTACCAAGCTAACCAAGGAGGGCTGGCAGTGAGGATGGGGGAGGGGATCCCCGGAGAGGTACAAGGGGACGGTCCCGGAGGGAAGCACTGGGCCTGGGGGAGCTGTCCCAAGGGGCGCGGAGTGCCAGTGTCCCCGGATCCGCCCCGTCACTCACCGGCAGGTCCACGCTCACTTCGGTCCCGTCGAGCAGGAAGACGCGGCAGTAGAGGGTGGCCTTGGCCGCGCCGGCGGCGGAGATGTGCACGGCCGCGCCGCCCGTGAGCAGGGGCCCGCCGCCGGCCGGGAACACGCTGCCCCCAGGCGCAGCCGGCAGCGCCGAGGACGCAGCGGCGGTGGCCGGGCCCCCGCGCGGCCCCCCGTCGCGCTCGTCCCCCAGCCCGGCGGCCCCGCGCCCCGCCGCGCCCCGCGCGTAGCGTTGCATGGAGCGACGGCCAAAGGTCCGGCGCAGGAACCGCAGCATCCTGGCCGGGGCGCCCCTGCCTCCGCCCCCTGCGCTGCTGCGCCGCCGCCCGGGAGCGCCCCGCGACGCCGTCAGTGCCCGCCGCCGCCCGCGCCGCCTCCCGCGGGCTGCGGCCCGGGGCTCGCTCCCGCCGAAGCCGAGGCCGAGGCCGCGCTCCGGCCGCCCGCGGGGCGCGTCGGCCCGGCCAGCGCCGGCTGCGAGTGGCCGCGGGCGGGAGGGCGCGCTCGGGCGGCCCGGGCCCGTCCCGCCGCCGCCGCGCGCGCTCGGGGTGGGCGGGTTGCCGAGGGGCCGCTGCCGACGGGCGGCCGGGGGGCGCGGGAGGCGCGGGGCGCGGGGCGCGGGGCCGGGCTGCGGGCTGCTCCCGCGCCGCGCGCCGGCCGAGGGCCAACCGGAGCAGAGCGCCTGCGTGCTCCCGGCGCGTTCGCTCGCCCTGTCGCCGAGCCGCGCCGCGCCGCGCCCGGGCCGAGGAGGCCCTGCCGAGCGCCCGCTCCCAAGGCGCCTTTTCCTGCGCCTGCAGCCCCCGCCTCCCACCTGGGAGGCTGCACCTCCAGCTGCCGCCACCGCCGCCGGGACTGCAGCACGCCCTCCTCCCTCGGGGCTGCGCCGGGTAATCGCAAGCCGGGTCTGTGCTGCCCCCTGCCGGCCCGAGCGCCCCCTGCTGCTGTAGGTGTGCTCACGTGTGTACACGTAGGTGAGCACACACGTGTTTCCGGCGGCGCCCTGAGCCCTAGAGACGTCGAGTCCCCCCTGGCGCGCTTAGGAAAGGGACACTGTCCGACCTCTTGGAAAGGTTTGCCCCAGGGGCCAGAGAAAAACATTAAGTTCCTCCTTTTGGAAAAAATTGCACTCAGTTTCCCCTTTTGGAAAAGGAAAAAGGTGATCTAGGTAACCTATGAGGTCCCCGCTACTTAATTAAATTCTGTCAAGTTGAAGATCCCAGAATTGGGAGTCGTTTTAGCCTTCCAGTCCAATGGACTCATTGCAAATAAGGAAATTGAGGCCAGCGAAGAGGGAAGTGCTTTTCCAATGTACTGTGCAGGAGACAGCTTGCTCCAAAGACCTCTCTCTTGCCCTATACTGAGACAAGGACCTGCATGAATGACCATACTGAGAAGGCTAGCCAAGGTTGCACAGATAGCTGGGACACGCAGTAGAAGAGACAAGTGAATTGGGGCACGTTGAGAATATTGCAATCAGAGGGAATTATTTACAAGCAGTGTTCCACAGGTTCAGAGACAAGTGTCTTGTCCCAGGCTGCTGAGTGAGGAATGTGGAAGAGAGGGCTGAAAGGAGGTCAGGCCTGTTGGGAAGAATAGCATTACTGTTTATCAGGTCCTTAATCCTGTGCCAAACACTGTGGTAAACCCTTTCCATTCATCTTTTTACTTAAGCCTCCTGACAGCCTGGTTCCATAGAACCAGGCTTGTCCCCATTGTACAGAGGGGGAAACTGAGGTAGAGCTTAAGAGACTCACTGAGGACTCCATGATTAACACAGGCTGCTTCATGAAGCTCCAGAACTGTTACTGGAGCGTGCTCATGATTGGCAAGAAGTGAAGGTTTCTAGGAGGCTAAAGAAGGCAGTGTGGCCTAGCAGAAGAGACAAAAAAAAGGAGGGGGCAATGAATTTGGGAGGCTACTGAAAATCAAGCAGTGTCTTAGGTGATTTATGGTGATAACTTCATTAATCTTCCCTCCAGCCCTTCCAAGTAGTTCTGTTTATCCTCATTCACTTAGGTGGATTTTGGAGCTTAGACATGTAATATCCTTGCACAAGGTCTCAGAGCTGCAGAGAGGAGCAGCCAGTACCGTCACTTGTTGTCTAGAGTTCTCTTATGACACTCTTGAGGGTCTCCCATGTACTCTGAGGGACATCTACAATCAGTCCTCTAATACCCACTCTGCTATCTGCCCCCTGTGACCACATCTAACAGATGCCATCAACAAGTTGATATTCAAAGGTAGCCCGAGTCTGCTTACTGGTTTCTAAGAATAGCCCATTTCCTACCATCAGCATAGGGGTACAATGAAAGACTGAGTAATGGCTACTCAAAGATATGCACCCTATGTGAATATGTCACCCTGTGTGGCAAAATGGACTTTGTAGTGTAAGTTAAAGAGGCTGAAGTGGACAGATTAACCTGGTATTAACCTAGTGTAATCACAAAGGACTTAATTAGAGGAAGGCAGGAGGGTCAGAGTCAGAGAAAGTGCTGTGATAAAAACAGCAAGTGTCAGAGTAATGAGTCCAGCAGCCAAGGGATACAGACAGGATTATTCCCTAGAGATTCGAGAAGGAACGTAACCTTGATTTTAGCTCATAAGATAGCTTTTGGCCCCCAGAATTGTAAGAGAATACATCAGTGTTGTTTTTAAGTCACTGAGCTTGTGATAATTTATTCCAGCAGCAATGGGAAACTAATGCAGTGCAGCACAGATTAGCTCGGAGCATTATCTCTTTCAAAGCCCTCCCACCTCCGTGATCTTCTTTGTGAATCTCATGGTGCTGTGCCTCTCCTAGTAAGCATCACTCATTCAGGCTTGTGATTATGAATGGCTGTTCTCTCCTGCTGGACTCTAAGCTCCATGAGGACAAGACATTTCTTACCATTCTCTTCCCACCCAGCACTTAGCCTGCCGTGTGGCATAAAGCAGGCATTCATCATATGCTTATTGAATGAATGCAGGATCCCATTTCATCTGCATAATGGCTCTGTGGTGAGATGTTGTCATTGCTTTTTAGAGGTAAGGAAAACAAAGATTGGAGTGGAGCCCTGACTCCCACACTCATGACTTCACATCCCACATGTTATGGACAGTACCATATCTTTTCAACCAGGGACTCCAGATGGCTGTAGTTTTACCTTTCCTCCTATGTGTCAGGTACTGTCACCTAAGGGATCTCAAGCAATCCTCAGCACAGTAGTGAGTTACCACTATTTTCTCTATTGTATCAAGGAGAAACCACCAAGGCTTAAGCATTGCCTTAACAAAATCTCATGTTAAATTGCAACCTCAGAATTTCGACATGTAATGAGCAGGTTTGTATTTTATCTGTTCACAATATTGTGTTTCAATTGCTGCTGTTTCTTGACCTTTGTCTTTTAAGATGACTCTGTTATCTGAAGTCTATAACCAGCCCATCAAAGATTTTAATTGTCTTTTCTTGGACTTCCTTTAGGCCTAATATGAATTGGTCAGACCTGCACATATATCATGTTTATTAATGCATCACCCTGAAATGGGCCTTTGGTTCTTAAACTATTATTCAGAACCCCTAATGCTATGATCTGAATGTTTGTGTCCCTCCCCCGCCAAAATTTGTAGGTTAACACCCTAACCACCAAGGATTAAGAGGTAGGGTTTTGGGGAGGTAGGGTCTTTGGGAGGTGATTAGGTCATGAAGACTCTGTCCCCACATTGAGATTAGTACCTTTATGAAAGAGACTCCCAGAGACTCCCTCACCCCTTTGGCCATGTAAAGATATAGAAAGTAGGAACCAGGAAACAGTTCTTACCAAACACCTATTAGTTGATGCTTTGATCTTGGACTTCCCAGCCTCCAGAACTGTGAGAAATAAATGTTTGTTGTTTATAAACCACCTAAGTTTGTGGTATTTTGTTGTAGTAGCATGAGTGGACTTAGACACCAGGATTTCTCCTGCCTTTCTGTCTAGAACCATCTTGGTTCACCCTTCAGGAAACAGTCTACACTAACTCATCTCCAGGCAAGTAATTAGCAATGCTCATACTAAAATAAATGGACAGTTAGAAGTCATCTAAGCTCTTAAATCCAGAAGTAGCAGTGATAAAAATGACTCTTTGGTGACTACCACTGAGCCCTAAATTTGTATTTTCAGCCAGTCTTTTCCCTCTAGTTGAGATCATATTTCTGACTTCATTCACAACATCCAATCACTAGATCTCCCCTCCAAACACCTACTATCTAGGTCTTTTTCTAGACATAAGAGATCACATTTGGAAAGAAACAGAGTGCACTCTCTTTATCTGACGGCAGCCTTAGGCCCATCTCTTCCCTGAAGGTTGGACATCCTGCCTTGAGAGGTGCATGTGGCTCTCATAAGATGACCTAATATCCATACTGAAGATGCACGCAGAAAGTGGAAGAGGGGTATTTATTATGGTGCCTGCCCTCCCTGCTGCCTCCCTACCTCCATCTCTAATATAACTCACTGTTGGGTTGCCCATGCTAAGCTCTCTCTTTCTGGAGTTCACTGGTGAGCCCGCATTCCACACCTGCTCCATCCAATATGGTAGCCATTTGACTACTAGCCACCCATCAAGTGACTGTTGAGAACTTGAAATGTGTTAAGTATGACTAAGGAACTAAATAATTTTATTTCATTTAAACTTAAATAGTCACACGTAACTGGTAGCTACCATATTGAACAAGAGAGGACTACACAGCACCCCGCACCATAACCTATAGCTGAGTTCTTCCTTGCTCCTGCTCCACTGGCATTGGAAGGTCCTAGCTTCAGGTAGAGATACCATTTGCTGTTTCCCAGATTGCTGACATTAATGTTCTCATACCTGGCCAAGTCACAAGATATGATAGCTCTGATCATATTTGCCATTGAATCACTCAACTCCTACCAACCTGGTAAAAACCAAGGTACATTTGCTCTCTCTGGGAAAGTCTTCAGACTGGGCAACTGGGTGGCTGGTGGTGGTAGCCAGTACTTTGGAAATCCTGTCACAAGTCAGAGCTCACCATGGAGCAGCATTCCAAAGTGACAGTCCCGTGCCTCAGCTGAGCTAACAGTACACAGCCAAAGAACAGGAACCATAGACACAAAAGTACTCCCCCTTCCTCTCCACAATAGACTTCAAGTCCTGGTTCAAGACAAGGAAAGAGAAGTTGAAGAAAGAGAAGGGAGTGGGTAGAATCAGATACATGTCAGTGAAACATGAATAGAAATGAGGTCTATCCGGGCCTTCAAAGAGACTATAGCTGTTGACTCTACTCAACCTTCAGTTCCGTACAATGGAAGAAGCAATGAATGGAGTATGTGGGCTTAAAGAAAACAGGGAAGTGCAGAGGGTATATCCAGACCACTCATTTAGCATCACAAGGAGACAGTGAATTCTCTATGAAAGAAAGAATACCAGGTTTCTGCTGACTTCTGGTTTGACACTCACTTCTCTCATCTGTAAAATAGGTGAGTACCATCAGCCTCAAAGTTTCATTTTGACATTCACTAGGTGACAAAAAATGGATGCCCCTTCCACTGCCCCCCCCAAAAAAAAAGCTTTATAACCTACAAAATCCTATAAAATGTAAGAGTGGAAGAAGGAGGGAGTGATCAGTTAAAGGTTTGGAGGCATGGTTTTTATTTTAATATTGGCAAGGCTGATACCTATTAGGAGAAAAAAAGAAACCTGAAGCCCAGGGAAAGGGAGAACCAAAGGGATGATGGAGTCTCTGAGGACAAACACAAACATGGGGCATGAGGGATGGAGCAGATGGTGTTTTTTGA